CTTTTATTGATGACATTTTCAGTTCATTTCTCTGTTTCAGCTCTTCTTTTCTTTCTGAATACCCTTTTAAAATTTGCAACTTTTTACAAGAGAAACCCTTATTCAAGCATAAACTTTCTTTTAAATAATAGATTAACAATTTGTAAATCATAGTTCTCTTAGTGTAATGGTACCAAACGGCAGATGTATAAAGTTAGATATGTCAGTGAAGCAGAAGCTATGTGATTTTTTTTCATGTAATCTTCATATATCTTTCAGGAAGCAGAATAAAGCATAAAATTTGAAAAGAATATGTACAATTTGAAAAGCATAAAGCATAAAATTCAATTCTATCTCAGTTTCCGAATTGGCAGTGCTCGTCCAAAGAGCTTTTCCACCTCGTTTGCCTCCATTTTTAGTTCACTCAATAAATCTTTCTCTTCTTTACTTAGCTCCCTTAAGAAATATTCTTCATCTCGTTGAAACTCTTTAAATCCTTCTGCTAACCTCTGGAACAAGGTCATCTCAGTTTCCCCTACCTTCTCTACCTCTTCTTCAATTTGTTCAACTTCCCTTATTATGGTCTTCTCTCCTTCTTCTACCGTCTTCTCCAGTCTTTCTACAAGAGGAGGTTCTGGTCCACAAGTGTTATCAGTTCGGATGAACTTGTTAAAGTCTCGCCCAACACTTTTGGCTGCTCTTTCAAGTTCAGGTACAATGCTTTCTGGCAAAACCCTACTTCTTGTATATACAACTGCACCACCATAACCGTCCCATGCATCATTCCTGCCCCGATAGTATACAAATATGTAATCATCGTCTTTGTTCTCTACTTTGGATGATAGAATATACCTGCAAATTTCATCAAAATTCAAGGGTTTGACTTGCGATTCCAAGTGAACAAAATAAGCAGACAACTAGAAAAACTGTAAGTTTTAAGCTTTTTGGTTGAATGGTATGCTGGCTATTTTCCGTGACAAAAGGAAGGCTATAGCAACTAGAGACCCTAAGTTATCCTGAGTTCTAGTATCTGTA